TCCTTGAACACCTCCAAGGATAGTGACTCCACCATATTGCCTTACTACCTTTCTGATGTCCGACATGAAACTCCACAGGCATAGTTGGAGCCTATGTCCTCTTGTCCTGTTGCTAGTTGCCTGGGAGAAGAGACTGACTACAACCTGACTACAACCTCCTTTCAGGTAGCTGTGGAGAGCAATGAGGTGTTGGAGGTTAGGATCTTTTTGGTTTTTTATTTCTCTAACGAAATTTTCTCCCATTTGTTGCCTAAGAGATGTTAATGAGAATAGTTAAGAGATAAAGAATGTGGCTGGGAGGAGGAGGAAAAGGAAGGGTGCAGTTTGCTGCTGTCTCTTGACTGAGGGGCTTTCTCTTGGGAAGTGCAGAGATACCACAAGATTTTGGCTGGGGATGAGGGGCTGGGCCCATGCCTCAGTCCCGCTCTCTCCCTCCCAGGATCTGAACATACAGGTGTGGTTTTGGTGGCAGGCTGTTAGGCCAGAGGATTCGCTGCCACTGCAGACCTTTTGTCTTTCACTACATCTCCTTATCATGGGTGAGCATCTGCTCTCAAGGGCAGCTGTTGAACTGGGACCTTTCCAACACCCAGCCTCACTGGGATGGGGATCCCATCCTTTCCTGGAGGGAGACTCTCCTGGCGGCTTGTGGCAGCTGCCTACAGCGACCCGTCTGCTGCTGCCCAGCTCTGCTGTTTTCTGCCGCTGCTTCGGGTTTTTTGCTGCATTTGAGCCTGACACCCCGTGTTCACCAGGACTCCTGCAGCTCCTGCCACGGCTCTGGAGTCTTTGCTACCCTTTGTTAGCCACACCCCCGGTACTGTTCCAGCCGGCTGCTGCGAGGGTCCTGCTGCAGTCCATTTTGCCATCCAGAGGGGCACTGGGCTTGGCTGCCGCTGGGGGTTTGTAAAGGAAGCCCCTTTCTGCCGGCCTGCCCGCCATTGCCCACATGAGGGAAGCGGCCAGACTCGCGCCACAGCGCCCCCTGCAGCTGCGGGTGTCACCGCACTGCCCTGCCTGCCGGGAGCCAGCAGCGCCCCTGCTGGCTGCAACCGGAACTGCACCAACAGGGAAGGCTCCTGCGGCCCAGAGAGGGCTGGGAGCGGGTTCAGGCTCTGGCTGGTGTTCATGCCGGAGCTCTTGTTTGTTTGTTTGTCTTGTTATATATATACATATATATTGTCATCAAGAACTGTTATGCCTTTTCCTGTATCTTTGCCTGAAAGTCCCAGCATTTCAAAGTTGTAATAATTTGGAGGGAAGGGGGTTACATTTTCCATTCCAAGGGAGGTTCCCACCTTCCTTGGCAGACACCTGTCCTTTAAACCAGGACAGGTGTCCCCTGAGCCTCCTTTTCTCCGAGCTAAACAACACCAGCTCCTCCAGCCGCTCCTCACAGGACTTGTGCTCCAGACCCTTCCCCAGCTCTGTTGCCCTTCTCTGGACATACTCCAGCCCCTCAATGTCTGTCCCATAGTGAGTGAGGGAGGGGCCCAGAACTGGACACAGCACTTGAGGTGTGGCCTCCACCAGTGCTGAATACAGGGGGACAATCCCTGCCCTGCTCCTGCTGGCCATGCTATTGCTGATCTACGCCAGGATGCCACTGGCCTTCTTGGCCAGTGGCATCCTGGGCACAGCTGGCTCATGTGAAGCCACTGTTAACCAGCACTCCCAGATCCTTTTCTGGTTTCTTTTCTGTGTTCAACTAATATCTGAAGTCATGTCTTCAGATAGGTTGGATCATGCTGATAAATATTTAGAAGTCATTTTAGCGCAAACCAACTATAATTCTTTTAAAACATAATATTAACATATGTGTCTGAAGTACCTAAAATTGCTTCAAGAAGTTTCTTTCATACCAGTTTCAACTCTCCTCTGTCTGTCTCTCCAAACAGAAGAAACCTAAATTGATAATGTACCAATGCTTAATTATTTATACATGAACATTTAAATCTCACTGGATTTATTTGGGGGCTTTATGATTTGTTTTTAGGTAAAAATGTTTGGCATTAGGATCAATTACATATTTGATGTAAAAGTACTTGAGACAATTCAGAATTAGTTTTCTGAATGCCCACTTCTTCTGTGAGCCAAAAAAGAAGAGAGTCTTAAGATTATTAAGTAACTTTATCCTCATTCTAAAGATGTAATACAATTGAACTTGGTATTTTATAAAGAGCTGATAACCTCTACTGGTTAATTTGTCAATACCATGTCATTTTAGTTGCCTGTTGAACCCTATATCCTGTATTAATAGGAGGCTTCACATATGGTTCCACTTTTTGTCTCCAGTATGAACGTCAGGGCATGGTCAGAACAGCACACCTTAAATGCTGTGTTCATTGTGTTCCAGGTGCTTCAAAACAATACTATAATTTTCCACTTTCAAACTTAAATAACGAATAGCACAATTTTGTGACATAACATTCTTCACAGCAATTAAAACCAGGTGAGACTTTTTCAAAGCTATAGCAATCATATTTTAATCTTAGAGATATTACACCTTTTTCATTTTTTATCCAACTGAAGTGACATTTTTGAACTACTATAGTAATTCTCCTGCAGTCCTCAGGAATTTAACAAATACCTACAAATTAAGTCATACTTTCACTACTTGCATGGGGCTTTAGAAGATGCTTTGTGCAAGGATATGCTTGTTGAATAACTTAACATTTCAACGTACTACGTAACTTTGCAATTTAGGAGCCATTTCATAAAGTGCAGACTTTGGAGAAGATATACAGAATGGTGTCTCAAAAAATTTCATTTCATTACCTTGAGGTCGAAACTAGAGGGTACAATTCTTTAAAAGATGCATGCCACTTCCATACGATGAAGAAGTGATACACTCAGACCAATGGATATGTAATTAATTACTGATCTCAGCCACCTACTACAAACTGGATGAATGAAAAAAATAGTACAATGTCATCTTCTGTCAGTACTCAACAGTTCTGATAGCCAGTGCTTCATCCCTATCACACTGCCTAATTTAAAATCTTAATTTTTCATGCAATTTTTAAAAATATACCATCAAATACCAATAAATTTAAATTTGGGGAAAAAAATCCTGATGTCTAACACTTGTAGATAATAAGACCTTTAACTGAGCTGTACCTATCACAGACTAACTATAGCAGTTCTAGAGAACATGCAGGCAAACAATTCCACAGATTTTAAAGAGAAGTGTCCATAAAGTGGTTTCTCACAGTTTACTTCAATTCAAAATGACAGGATTGCTCTTAATGTAGTTTTGCATGGAATTAACATCAAGTAGCTTACTACCAGCTACAAAAGGAAAAATTCATAAGAAAATCTTTACAGTGTGCTTAGAAAGTTATCAAAAAAGCACTATGTAACTAGAGATAGGGAGAGAAGAGGAAGGAAGAGAAGTGAAAGGGAAAAGGATAAAGGGAAGGAGGAAAGAAACCTCACAGCGATACAAACTGAACGATTGGAGCTGTTTGTGTATGCACAGAGTAACCAAGTGTAACTGAAGCTGTCAGGTAAACAAAAAGTACGTTTACATCACTGCACTACCAGTGCAGCACATACATTACTATGAGCTAGCTATAGCATGAGTAAGTACTCTGTTCAAATGTGAAATGCAACTTTTTATACTTCTGTTTCTGTTCTTAGAAATAATGACAGAATAGACTATCTTGGAAATGCTTCTACAATCATTGGAAGGTCAAAAAAGTGTGGAAGTTGGGATGAGACAAAAAAATAGAAGCAGGTACCACCAAACAGGCTTCTAAATTAGAAGAGTGGCATTTAAAAGCTGGTGATTTCTATGACAGCTTCTTAGAATAAAGATGCACCTGTGGAGCTTTTTGTGCAGCTTTAAAAGTGATCATCACTGTATGGGGAAGCATTTGCAACCTACCCTCTGCCAGAGATGTACAGCTGTGCTTTCTAAGGTGCACAGGAATCTCACAGTGTTACATATTACTACTTTATTATGGAAACATTATAATACACACATAATTTAAATATTTTTCATATTGAAAGAAATGCGTGCAAAAGGGCAACAGTGAGAAATTTCCAGTTCAGCATCCACCTTTCTTGAATGTTTGGTGTTGTGACGCTGTTCCTGCAATTATATACTGCGTCAAGAACTGAAAATCTACAATAAATTTTAAAAGGTTGCTACAGAAAAGTATACACATTTTGCAATATTTTCATTTCCTAATATCCTTGGACTTTACTTGACTACCTTTACTCTGATTCAGATAGAAGAGCACAATGAAAGAAATACGTATTCACTCTGCCTTTTGCTCACTCACTGGGAAAATGAAATATTCTGCTTTTTACAATAATGTATTCTGCACAGCTATAAAGACTAAGGTATAGTTTGTATAGAAGAAAACATAACAAACTTAGAAACAATAAGGAGGCATTGCACAGAATCCATTTTCACAGCCAAAGAAGTGTGCATTTTTAGTTAATTTCTCTTCTTTTCCCCAGTTTCCTCCTAATAAAATTAGTATTTTGAAACACATAAATATTTAAACCTACATAAACAAAACAGCTCCTATACGAAAGTATTACAAATAGCATTTTCTTCTAAATTGCTAAAGTGCTAAAAATCACTGTTAATTCTAAAACTGAAATAAGAAAAAACTTGATACTGACCAAGTAGCAGCATAAAAATCTTGTCTTTCCCCCCCTCCCCATTTTTAATTTCTACTTGTCTTGCTTAAATTAGGCAGAGGAAAGGGGGGGTGGGATAGAGTGACATTCATTTTCAAATATAGAATTTGTGGTTTTCCATGGTGATATCCTTGTCAGTTATTTAACATTGTACCTGCAAAATTAAAAGTTCACATCATCTCTGAAATACCACATCCAACAGTATATATGAAAATTATTTCTCTTTCAACTGTTGACTACATAGTTTTGAAGCATTTTCTTCTCCACACATTCAGAGCAGTCTAGTTTCTTGTTCTCAGTTGCAAAAAATGAAAACAAGAAACAGGATTATTTTAGACTCTAACCTGAAATGCTGCAGCCTCTGGCCTGCCCTTCAGCCCTTCCTCTGAAAAGGTCTCCAGATGCAGTTTGGGTAGCTCCAGGGTGAAGTCATTCGTGGCTGCTGCAGTACACAGCAGCAAGGCCTGATCTCTGACCTAAAGGGAAAAAAACCAGCATCAATGGTAATTCCCCTTCAGACACATTAACTGGGATGAACTGGGTCCCCTTGAGCCCACTGAGTGGACTTGCATTGATCGCTGGACCTGAAATCCATGAATAAATTTAGGACTAATTGATTTTTCGTTGCAAATAAATCTCTAATTCAGAGTGCTGGGAGAGAATGTTAAGAAGAAAAAGCATCTTTCCCTGGTCTGAAATGAGACGAAAAGACACTAAGGGCTCTGTAGCCCAGCTGGTGTATACCTTTTACAGATCTGTCGCCTGCAAAAACCTCGTAAGAAAATAAACAGTAATTGTACTTCTAACTGAAGCAAACATGAACTGTGAAATTAAAAAGTTCATGTGATCACATCAGTGAGTAGCTGGCATGTGAGTTCTGTCTGCTCTCAGTCCTCCAGATTAAGGATAATTTGGAAACAACTCAGTCAAAAATCAGAATAAAATGAATAATCCACAAATAACCCAAAACGAACTAACCTGTAGCTTTCCAATTAATAAAGGGGGGAAGAACGGGAGAAGACAGAAATGCTTGCTTTTTGCGGGCTCGGTGCAGGACACACGGCCCGGGGTGTTACGAAGGGCCCCGCCGCGCTTTCCGCGGGGCGGGCAGGCCCCGGCCGGCCCCGGGCGGCGGCGGCGGGCAGCCGCTCGCGCTCAGCCCGAGNNNGGGCCGGAGCGCGCGGGGCCGCGGCAACGTGCCGCGCGTGCCGCGGGCAGCGGCGACAGGCCGCGCACCTGCCGCCGCCACAGCACTCGCGTGCCCACGCCACCGGGTGCCACACACCCATTCTTCATTCTATTTAATACAACGTTTTCAATGTCTGCCTCCAGGAGACCCCAGTAGTCAGATTATATTCTAATACAGATGGATAGACAGACGTACAAATATATGTTAGTACAAACGGATAGATTAAATCCATTCATTTGCCATACGCTGCATCTGTTCAGTAGCAATAGTGAGTACTGCGAAAAAAATTTACTGTTCTAATGACCTAATACACAGTCTAATACTAAAACACTGCATATATGCTAAAACATATACTGGGTATATTCTAAATACATATAAATCAATAGATATACCATTTAATAAGTACTATTTTAATAAATTTCAGGGATTTTTAGAGGCTGCCTTGCCCACAAGAATGCACTGAGCATGAATTAAAACGTAAATCTATTCATTTTAAATCCCAGATTACTTTTCTGTAACCACTTACGAAATTAGATTCTTGTAAAATGTTGATTATGAGTGAACAGATTTCAAATAATAGCAGGGCCTTTGAAATCTGCTCTGATTGAAAGAAGCATGTGCAAATCTACTGACACAAATAAGAGATTTTATTTTATTCGTTCCTCTGTTCTGTGGGAATAGGGAGCCCTACATTTCCCAAGTTGACCTAAAGAATTCCTGTCAATACCTGTGGCTGCCAAACATATGCACTATGATGCAATTTTTATAACAGGAAAGGTCCTCTACACATTTTTTGCACACATAGTGCACTAGGTTCAGGATACACAGTCCTGTGGAACAAACATACTCTCTAGAGTGTTCTGTCAGCATGTGTAATTCTGGTCAGATGTTAACCTTGCTGAATATAACAAAATACATTGCTTTAAATACACACACATGCATGCACGCACACACACACGCACACACTTGATTTACATTTTTATAGCTTATATGCACAGCAACTTTTCAGTGTCTTTGCTGCCAGTATGCACACAGATAAAAGAAAACATTAATGTGGATTAAGGTACTAAGAATTTATCAACATCAAACCACCAGTGTTTTGCCTTCTACCCTTCTGAACCGTAGTCAATAGATCTAAATATTTTACTGCACCCTGGCCAATTCATTGTTTGATGTTTAAAAACTCAAACAGAATCAAAGAAAATTTATTAAATTTCAGCCCCCAAATGAGATACTATTAGCTTTGAAAGTCAAGTTTAACTGCGATATTGATGATTCTCTTTTTTCTGTGACAAAATTCACAAGGGAAATCTCTATGTCAAAGTACAAAAGCAGATTGCTAATACTAGGGGGAAAAAAACAATGTATAAGCAATGTAGGTATAATATATACACAATACAGACAGTAGAAGTCCTTTTAACCCTATTAGTTTCAACCTCTGTATCTCAGTATTGGGGTCTGACACTCACTGAACAATAAAATATAAACCCCATTTTTAAAATGGCTGCATTGTGGTATACAAATGCCATTAATACCACTGCATCAGAAAAGTATGTATTAGCTTCTTAAAGAGTATGATTTTTGATAGGAGGATTCACAACTAAAAACAAAACAAACAAAATACTTTTTTGTGTTTGTAAATACTTAGATTGTAGAGAGTACATCTCATTATCAGTATGCATACTGAGAAACTGAAAATTAATATAGACTTTTCTTTTTGAAAAATACTCATGAGGGTTCAGGTAAAATTGTAAGAACAAAAGACTGGGTGTATGCTGTACAAATATCACTATATTGTTTCACTAGAAGTGAAAACATTCCAAGCTGCCTACCTATTCAAGGGCTGGAAAGCTGTAATGGTCATGCCTGCATGGACTCATGTTAGAAAGACCAGATCTCTATGAAATCTTAGTAAAGAACTAATTTAATAACTTCTGTCTGTTGGCTTTTTGAGATCCAGAAACAAAACAACAGGAGTTGGGAAACTGTATTTATTTCCTCATTCTCTAATGAAGTAAAAACAGTACTCACATACAAACTTACATTACAGAACCATGAGGCAAAGATAAAATGGGTAATTTAATTTCTTTTTTGAAAGAGGGTATTTTTGGAAGCTCAACAAGCAAAAGAACCATCCTAAGCAGCTAAGCTTTAAAATGCAATTTTCAGAGCTTTTTTGTATTTAATGCCTTTTTTTTCTTACACATGAAATCTAAAGCAAGGCCATTTTGTCTGAGAGGTCTCCTGAGGCTAGAGAGCTTTATGTTAATATCTAAAACACCCAATCAGCTAATTGGGCTTATTGCAATGATTAAAAATGTCTAAAACCAGTTGCATTTGCCTATATTCTAAAATTATATAGATTTATATTTATCCATTGTTAGTGAAGGTTTTGGCCATTTCTGATTTTGGTAAACATAATTTTAGCTGAGATTGTGAAAAGTTTCAAGAGTGATTTTATCCAGAGTATAGTTAAGTATCATGACAGCATGCTTCTAAATATGATTACATTTTTCAGTTTAGACATATATAAATTCTATATGAAAACAGGCAAAATCACAAATCCACACTCTACCACAATACTCATAGTATTTTAAAATAAAGGAGAAGAGTGACTTATGACAGTGTTTAACTTTTTAATTAATTAGGAGAGCAACAAAGAAGACAACACTATAGCCACTCAATTTAAAATCAATAATGTACTCATTAATTCAGATCAAAGCTGAAACTGAATAATAAACTGAAGTTACGTTATTGACTGAACCAAGGTGTAGAATTTGATGGGCTAATTCTACATGTCCAAAAACAAACTTCAAAATTTTCTGTTGCTCAAGATAATAGTAGTTTAGTCTACAGTCCACTCTGGTGCTTACTTTGGTTTTTCTATGCAGTTTGATGTGGTATCCAGTTATGCCAATAGAGACATGGTACTAAATGCTAGGAAGTTGTAAATGGTATTAGAATGTGCTCAGCCCATCCTAATGTTTTTTTCCAGTTGCTATCTGACTGGTACAACAAGCCTGAGATTTTAGTTTTTATTTTGTTCCTAATTCAATGCTTTCTTATGGTGGAAATAAAATAAAATTATTTATGGATATAAACTTCACAATGTAAGCTATATATGAGAATATTTTATCAGTTCAAAGTTCACCAATGCTACATTAAAAAAAATACTTACTTTTGGGCTTATTTTTTCTTTAATTTCCTACTACTTTTTAAATAGCATATCATCTGCACTTTAAATAGTAGAACAAGATCTACAGTGATTTGGGGATAAGTGAATGGAAAAGAGTGATTTAATCTCTTTGTCTGAGATCACCATATTGCTGATATAACAGGAACTGCAAATACAGAAATCATTCTAAAAGAGTACAAGCAAAATGATTTCTACCACACTGCTATGTGTTCTGCATGTGACATACAACAGACGAAAATGAGTTTAGAACTTTTTTAAGTAGAAGAAAGCAGTTTGAATGCAAATCTTAGTCTTAACCACAGTCTTGCAAGTATCTGGCTGATTTAGCTGTGCAGTGTCTGTACCTCCAGGGCAGCATGTAGAGTGGGGGCCATATTACACAGGTTTAAAACATGCACACTTACCGAACACAGTCCTTTCCCATGGAAAGCATTTTAACAGAAATAAGTTACATAGTAACTGCTTTGAATGGGCAAGTCTTTGTTATAGTGTTATACAAATGATCTAAGAATAGAACTAAGAATAATATTTTATACATTGTTGGACAGAATTAAACCTTCATGAAGGTTTAATTAAACTTCCTATTTTTTCATATTTAGCATGAATTGCTAAAGTTTTGTTACTCTATATTAAATATACAAATGAATATACAGGAAAGAAGTTCCACCAACAATAATATTGAACAGTCTTGGTAACAGTAGTTCTTCAAGTAAGTTGCTGATACAGATTATTTTCCTCATGATACATTCATATACTTTGGGCTGTCTAGAAAACAGTGATCAATCTAAGTGTTACCCATTTAAGGGAATACAGACCCCAAATTATTTGCTGCAGGATTTGGCACAAGTAATATCCAAAGAAGTACCTCCCACAGCACCCTGTCAGATCATAGAGTGAATCTGTTAATATTGGTTGCTCTTAATACCAGTCTGAGTCTGCTCTGAAAGTAAGGAAATTACTACAAAAAGTGTATGAATCTTACTGAATGAGAGCCTATATAATTTCAGATACAATATTTTCCATCAGGATGGTTCAGCAACCAAGGACCACTCCGAAAGTCAGGACACTGCCTGTGACAAGTCTGTGACAAG